CGTCGGCTTGGCTTCCCCCGACGGCCCGGGCCCCAAGCTCGTGCGCGCCAAGCAGCTGGTGTGGAAGACGGTGCCCATTCTCCAGGACAATGGCGTGCCGCAGCGCGCCGAGAACCCGCTCTCCCAGTACGGCATCGACGTCACCCAAGTGCTGATTGGCGACCCGCGACCCGAGCCCAATTTGGACAGGCTGCTGATGGACAAGAAGCGCCTCGTCGCCGAGCGCATCAAGACGGTGCAGGAACAGGAGACGTCCAAGGCGCAGGCGAACACCGAGCAGCTCAAGAAGGAGATCGAGCGCACGCGCGCGGTGCAGGACGCCCAGCGCCAAAAGGAGCTGCGCACGATCGAGATGCAGCGCGAGGTCGTCGACGACGCGGGGGACACACGCTCCACTCTGCGCCCATTCTCTCCTGAGGTGTGGCGTTTGATTACTCAGGTCGACGTCGCGAAGCAGGTGGCGGAGCGCGAGACGATCGAGCAGCGCAAGCTGCAGGACCTCGCCGTGATCCAAAAGGAGAAGGAGCTCGCGATCGCGCGCGCCGAGCTCGACATCCAGAAGGCGAATGCAAGCGCGGCTCGGTTCCAAGCCGACGCGATCGCCGCCAAGGGCCGCGCCGAGGCGGAGGTGCTGGCGGCCAAGTACAAGGCCAAGGCGCAGAACAAGGAGATCTTCCTGGCCGAGACGCAGCGCGACATGGCGACGGCGCTCTACTCCAACCTGAAGGACTTCAAGGTCGAGATGCCGCAGAACGTCATCGTAGGCGCGGGCGGCGCCGACGGCGGCGGCGCGGGCAGGATGCCGTCGAATCTCGACGTGATCACGAGCTTCTCGGCGCTCGGCCTGATGGAGAAGGCGGTGAGGAGCAAGGCGGCGGCGTGAGAAGGGGTGGAAGCCAAGGTTCAGCTCAAGGTTCCGCATGTTCATGTGACTGCTGACTCACATACCGTACACTCGCTTGCTTTTTTTCGCATGCGCGGGCCCAAAGAAAGAAAGATATAAGCCACACGCGAAGAAGTGCCCCCCCCCCCCCACACACACACTCCCCCGTGGTACTCTGTGATCACTGCTGCTGCATGCCCGTTGGCGTTGCGTACGCACTCTCTATGCGCGCTGAGCCGCCTCCACCGCCATCCTGGCGGCCGCCGCCTTGGCCCTCGCAGCGGCAGTGGCCGCGCGCTTCTCCTTGGCAGCGGCCAGTTTCGCCTCGGCCGCCGCCGCTTCGGCCGCGGCCGCCGCCGCTGCCGCCGCCGCTGCCGCCGCCGCCGCCTCAGTCACCGCTTCCTCCTCTGCGGCAGCCTCGTCCTCCGCCTCCGCCTCCTCCTCCGCCGCCTCCGCCTCCTCGGCCAGCCGCGCCGCCTCGGTCACCTCAGCCAACGCCGCTGCCTGGCTCTCCGGCGTGATGCCGAGCCGCATCCTTTCCTCGGTGAGCGTCTCGAGAAGCAGGAGGATCCTCGCCTCCTCGGCCTTCTTCGCCGCCTCGGCTGCGTCTACCTCCGACGGCGCCTCGGCACCCTCCTCGGGCTCCTGCGACGGCCCCGCCCCGCCCGCCCCGCCCTTCTTCTTCTTCTTGCCCTTCTTCCCCTTGCCGCGCTTCTCCGCCTCGACCTCCGCCAGCAGCTCCTCGGCGTGCCGCGCCGCCTCCTTCTCCTCTGCCGCCCTCTGCGCCGCCCTCTGCGCCGCGCCCGCGGCCCACGCCGCCTCCGCCGCTGCCTTCTCCGCCGCCTCCGCCACCTTCTTCGCCGCCTCCGCCGCCGCCTTCTCGGCCGCCGCATGCTCCGCGAGGGCGCGCACGCACTCGATGTGGCCATGCTTCTTGGCCCACTGCAGCGCGGTCTTGCCATCTGCACTGCACAGCGTCACGTCTGCGCCCGCCCGCAGCAGGCAGAGGAGGGCGGCGGAGTGGCCGTGGAAAGCGGCCCAAATCAGTGCGGTGTCGCCGTTGTTGGACTGAAGGTTGATCTCCGCGCCGTGTCGCAGCGCCAACTCGACCAGCTTCTCGCGGCCATTCGCGGCGGCGAGACTCAGCGCGGTGGCGCCAACGCTGGTCTGCAACGAGAGATCAGCACCGCGCTGGAGCAGTGCGTCGGCCAGCCCCTCGTGGCCCTTCGTCATTGCGAGCATCAGCAGCGTCACGCCGCTCAAAGAGAGGCCGTCCGAAAAGACGTGCTCGTACGTTGCGTCGACCCGCCCGCCGCCGTCGAGCCACGCCAGCACCGCCTCCTCGCCGCCTCGCCCAGCTGCTTGCACAACCTCCTCTGGCACCGCCCCGCTGCTCGGCTCGGCCTCCGCGCCTCCCTCGTCGCTCGAAGCAGAGGCTGCGTCACTCGCACCCACCGCCGCGCCTGCGCCGCCTGCCTCGGCCGACGGCGACTTGCTCCGGCGCGCCGCCACCTCCCCGAGGTACGTCTTGAAGGCCTGGACGCACTCGGCGTGGCCCTTCTCCTTGGCCCACTGCAGCGCCGTCGCGCCGTCCACATCGCGCAACGTCATGTCTGCGCCCGCCCGCAGAAGGCGGAGCACGACAGCGGGGTGGTTGAAGAAGGCGGCGAGAATCAGCGCGGTGCCACCGTTCTTGTGTTGCAGGTCGATCTCCGCGCCACGCCGCAGCAGCAGGTCGACCACCCGCTCTTGTCCGCCTTTGGCAGCCGCTGCCAGCGCCGGCCAGGCGGCGGAGTCCTGTGGGTTCAACTCCGCACCGTGCTTCAGCAGCATCTCCACCATTCGCTCGCAGCCGCAGCAGGCGGCAGCGTTGAGCGCAGTGCTGCCGCAACTGGTTTGCAGGTTGATGTGCGCGCCGCGCTTCAGGAGGAGCTCGACAATCTGCGCGTGCTCTTTCTGTGCGGCGAGCATCAGCATGGTGTATGGAATCGGACGGCCGCTGATCTGAGACTCAGCGTTGAAGAGAGTGTCGGCCTTCCCGCCGACATTCAGCCACGATCGCACTGGTCCCAAGCGGCCGTTCTCGGCCGCCTTCAGGACGTTCTTTGGGACTTCACCACCCGGCGCGCTGTCAGCAGACGGCGGCGGCGTGCGGAGCGCGGCGTTGGCGCGGATGGGCGGGGCGGGCATATACGTGTGTTGGCGGCCTGAGAGGCAGGGCCCGCAGATTTCTTTTTTGCAAAAGAGAGCAATCTGCTCTAGCCTCGCATGTCACTTCCTGTTGTCTGTTGTTTGTTGTGCCCTTGTTTGTTCTTCTGGTGCCTTGGAGTGCTGGGGGGGGCAACAGGGAGGATGTGGCCCTGAGTTATGTGTACGCCTACTCAGGGTGTGTGGCAGCCAGCTGGCTGTGTGTCTTGTGAGCCTGTTTGTGTCTGTGTGTCGCTCGTGCGTGTCGTCATCATCTGTCTAGCGTCCACCCATACCGCGTTGGTGTCCAGTCCGAGCCTGGCTGTTCTTCACCTTTCTACCTACCTAGAGCAATACACTGCCGGACTAGCAACAGACCCTATCGTCGTTCCTTTTCCTTCGTTCCCGACGAAGGGTGCTAGCCAGCTTGCAGCTAGCCAGCCAGCAGATCCCAACGGAAGAGAGAGCGATGAAGACGGCGCACGCCTTGTTTATGTATAGGTGTAGGCCAAGACCAGCCGCTCCCGGTCTTTCTTGGAATCGAACACGGTGGGGTATGCAAACATGGTGAACTCCGCCAGGTGCAGAGGGAGGGTGAGGGAGCTGGCCAGGACGTGGAGCAGGGCACCGGACACGTAGAGGCTCGTCATCCACGACAGGGCCTCCCAGCGCAGCTCGCCTACCACAATCACGTGGCTCAAGTGCTCACCGAGTCCAGCAGCAAATCACGAGTGCCTCCCACAGCCCCCAGCTCACCCTAGCGGCGGACGATGCGGGGCGCCAGGGCCAGCGGCCACCAGGCCCGTCGCAGCGGTTCCAGTGCGGAGCCCGAGAGCGCCCCGCGACGCCCGAGGCCGCCCCAGGCGCCAGGGCTGGACCTAGTCCGTTATTAGTCGACAAGGAAGTGGGTTGCTGTTAAGGTCCCTCGGGCCAGTTTCGGGGGGCAAACCCCGCCCGGCCCCTAGAACCCCAGGTAAGGCCCAGGTATGGCCTAGGGCATCAGAAGGGACCAAGAGGAGTCCAGTCTGAGCCGTAGAGCCCATGTCTTTGCCCCCGAAGGTCGCGTTCAAATGCCCGGAACGGACGTTACAGTGGTGTCCGGCCGGCGCGATCACCGAGCTGTGACGCTCAGGGAAGCCCGATGAGGTACTGGTTTCTTTGCCCAGGCCTGGCCTACGGCCCGTGCTGGATCAGCTGAGCAAGGTTTGGGGAGAATCCTATAGTAGGATCTG